TTGTCTCTAGTAATGGTACGTTTTACTGAGCATCAGCGAATTTTTATGTCGTTCATAGACACTCTGGCGTTCATATCGTCGCACTTAGAACGATACTACGGTAATAATGCCATTTTATTACAAGTGAGCTGGATGGGATGTACATGCAATGGTGATACTATTTCAACGATGAACTTAAAAATATGTAATTATGCTTCAGAAACTATTCAGAATATCGGTTAATTTTGAACAAATAACACAGAAAAAAAACAAGCGTGGTTCTGAGTTACCAGAACCTGCAGCGTTGCTTTGATGCAGTAGTTAGGCAGTTGCAGAACTCAGAACTGTCCTGCCTTGTTACGCTCGGCTAATGTAAACGGAAGCTTGCAAAATTTCACACGCCTCGCGCTCTAAGCGGACTTGGCAAAATGAAAATAGTTGCAGATATCACACAACATTAGACAATAAAATCTTCGGTAGTTTACGCCAGATGCAGTAATTGGTTTGTGGAACAATTTGAATTGAATTGGTCGAATCGTTCTCTTCATTCAATTTTTAATGAATGTTTTCAGAAAATTGCCGCCGACCGGAAATATGTATAACTATGAAGCGTTTGCATCAAGAACTTACAGCAAGAACGCAATGTCTGTAAGAAAATGAGTCACGAGAACTCACAAATACACTTTTTTATATATAAGGAAGAGTTATAAAAAATCAAAAACTTTGACGGACGATTTGTCCGTTTGAAACCTACATATATTTATGACAACTAATCTACAGCTTTGAACACCACCTTCATTATCTCAGACGACCTTTGAGCACTCTACCCTCATCTCACTCATTTCAGTAGCTCTTTATATCACTGCTCCAACTCGGGGAATCCGCAGGACCTGTTTTCCTGCCTGAATTTCCCAACTGTGACGTTGTGACGAGTAGGTCTGCAGGCATGTGAATTATACTCGCGGCTACAGTAGAGCTTTCGTCCGACAAAACACGTTTCGGTCCAATCTGGGGCGTTCTTTAAGCCTTTGTCTTCTGACAGCCAATCTCGTTACCCGGTCTTTGAATACAAAGGAAACCGACGACGCTTAATATATCAGTAGCTAAAGGGTGGAAAAACTGTCAAATATTACAGTACTCTGAAGTTTCAGGAACCTTTAGCTTTTAATTTTTTCTCGTTTATTCGTTAATGTTGTGAAGTTCAATGAAAAATGTAAATAGATCGACTGTCAACTAATTGGTTTTTCCCTGTAAACTGATCATCTGTTTCCTGTCAAGTTATTTTCTGTTTCTTCTGAATTTTTTGGTAGTTTCCTGTCAACTGTTTGCCAGTTAGTCAACACAAGGTAAGATGAGTGAGCAACTTGTTAGGTGGTCATTGGAGACGATCCATTGTGATGGATTGTCCATAGATCCCCTTATGTTAGTGTGAATGCTAATAATAATAACAAAATTCGAATAAATGAGTCAAATGTGACAATCCAAAAGGGGGCAACGTTTGGTCAATAAAAATCAAATGATTTTCTGCCTGATTCTATCGGAAGTAAAGCCTTTACCTGTCTACCTATGATTCCATTACCGTTTGCCAATTTCCGAGCATTTCATGCGAGGATACTGTAAAAAAGTGTCAACAAATTAACTATACGTTCTTATACGGTGAAAATGCATAAATCCCGCTAATAATAAACTTCACATATGCATAAACTTCATAATATGAAGGCTCGATCAATGTCTCAATAGCTGATGATTTTCTGCGGATCTATTCAAGTTTTATTTTGCTTCCTTTCATCCGCAAAATAAGAACTAAATTGAAGTTAGGCTCGAAATAAGTTGTGGCTCTCAAGAGATGGATGTCATGTGACTTCCAGCAGCCTCTTTGCTGCCACTTGACACTTGTCACAACCAATTACCGATGAACGAAAAAATAAGGATATGACACTGTAGGCGTTAGGGAAATATAAGATGTGGTATTTATACAGTTTGCATTTTTCAACTTTTCACCTTACTTACGAGTATGTTAGTTTTCCAAGTTGCCGTTCGAAAGAGTTAGTACCGTTACGGAACTTAGAACATATAGCTATAGGAGCGTTTGAACTTTATTTGGGATTTGTTTTTCGTGTGTTTTACTTAGTGATTGTTTTAATTGAGTTGTTTTGTATTATTATGTTTAATAAGGTTAAAATTAGGATTGAAAACGTGAAAAACAATATTGTTAGGGACTGGACATGTTGTACATTTCTCATTTTGTATTAGAGGAAGTTTGACGTGACCTTGGCCGAATTACGGAAGATAGTTTAGTCTTTTGGTTGCCGTCGATGTGTAAGGTATGTCTCGTGTAAATAGGAACAGTTAAAGTGGATGTTAGGTTAATTACTGTCGTTTGTCAAGAGTGTACAATTTTGTGAATATATGAGTCACTTTTAATGGTTAGACTTTGATGCTTCTGATTACGATACAATATTTATGTTCAAGTCTATTCGTTGTTACATATTTATTATTGTTTGCTTATTTATTTTCAGGAAACTTAATAATAATACCAATTCAAGTCATTTGTCAGCATTAGTCAAAATCACATTTCAGTGTTAATATTTGCCAATAAAGATTCTCGAGAAAATTTTGGTTCTTACTGGAGCTAATGGATAATAATGTGGCTAATGGATAATGCTATTCGATCACCTGGCTGAATAATGCAGGGTGAAAAATGGCTTTATTTTTTCCTTGTGTTGGAATGCGTCCCTAAAAATATTTAGGAATTATTGAAATTCGTAAAAGGGATGAAAAAATCGGTAAAATTTTTAAATAGTTCGACACCAATTGCAAAACGCATGTAAAAATTATCAGATAACTCGACTTGAAGGAAGATTTCTAATGAATAAAATATTCTGAGCAGTCAATTCAACAGCGCAACTTTTCCGAGTTTTTCTATATGTCTCGTGATTGGTTGCTCTGTGCTGCGCTGGGGGAGGCTAGAGAACAGCAATTAGTGCTGTCGGAAACAATGGACTTCCCTCGGTGTGCTAAAAGAAAACATTTCTGAAAAAAACAACGTCGGTGACGAGACATCTGCTGATCATTCAGACACGTAGCAAAAACATGGCCAACAAACAACGCTGTCTTCGGCGGCGAATCACGAGTGTGAAGTAGAATACAATTCTGCCAATTCTGACTGAAAGTCGCACATTACGGAAATTATTAGCGTAGAAGTTCAGACAAAAAGGACAAAGAGGTGGAAAATTGAAATTTTTGTTGGGCAAATGGGTAGAGAAAGTGTGAAGATTGAAGCACAAATAATTTGAAATATCTTGGAGATCTAATTTGTCGTCAATGCACGGGAATTTGCGCGCGGATAAAATGAATTCTGCAGAAGAAAGACAAGATGATTCATAAATTGATTTTAGTAATTAATAAAGCATCAAAAACATGTGGAGTAAAATGAGCTTTTTTGGCATATTATTTTCTCATAAAATATATATTAGTTTACTTACTCACTTAAATAGGTTTTTCGTTAAATGAAGTGGTCGTGCTTATAACATCTAAGTAAGTTGCTAGAGTTTCTGGGAAATATGTTGGGAGTGTTAGCGAAATATCAGGAACGCGAACCAACGTGGTGAGGAACTTGGTAGTTTGCTTCTTACACACTTGTTGTTATTGCCTCAGTGAGATTGGTCGTCTGAAATGGATTATAAATAATGAGATATTTTAGGAGCATGTTTATTAGATGTAGAAACAAGTAACTGCATGCTAATGAGTTACGGTAACCAGCAATGGCATGCTAATGAGGAGCAGCAACCAGCAATGTCATGCTAATGAGGAGCAGTAACCAGCAATGGCATTTTTTTATGTTAATGAGAAGCAGTAACCAGCAATTGCATGCTAATGAGGAGCAGTAACCAGCAATTGCATGCTAATGAGGAGCAGCAACCAGCAATTACATGCTAATGAGGAGCAGCAACCAGCAAATACATGCTAATGTGGAGCAGTAACCAGCAATTACATGCTAATGAGGAGCAGCAACCAGCAATTACATGCTAATGAGGAGCAGCAACCAGCAATTACATGCTAATGAGGAGCAGCAACCAGCAAATACATGCTAATGTGGAGCAGTAACCAGAAATGGCATGCTAATGAGATATTTGGAAGCCTCTCTAGCTAACCATTCAACATGGTACAAAGAGGCTTATCAGTTCCACGGATATCAGGATGGATGGTCGAGCAGGAACTAAACTTTTGGTTCTCCGGCGACGTTGAAATGCGAAATCAACAAGCGATTTGCATAATCGCGGTGGGACTTTGTAGCGGTACGATTGCGGGAGTAATTTTGCCCTATTTTGTAACCATGATTTGAACATAGAAATTGTCTCTTAAACCATTGAGTGTAGTCCGTGTAGATCCTGTACAGTATCGCTTGCATAAATGCATTTCTGTATCTTTATATTTTTGGGTGTCAGTTATTGGTTATTCGTTTGCATCACAGCCTTTTTCGCTTCATTCTCCTGGATGATATTGTGGACAAATTATTGCAAAAGGCGATCGTTTTTTCTTCTCAATCTCTAAATTTTTAAATTTCCCGTAAATATTACGTTTCTGAATTTGCAGAACTCAGATTCCGAGTTTTAAATTCTATTCCCGAGTTTGAGGCTAAAATTTTAATTCTTAATAAGAATATGAAAGAAAATCCTTTTTAATCTATTGAATGGAAGTAAAGCTCGTTGTCTCTCTGTGGGCGAGGTGAGCTAAGGGAACGAATCTATTACGGAAAATATCTTAAAATATCTCATATATAAAGATATTGAATAATAAAGAATCAATGTTAGGTTTTACTTTGCATCTGGGAGATTTTATAAAAATATATTTTTTATATCTACAAAATTGGTTAAGCTTTGTTTATGAAATATATCTTTTATATCCACGGGCGGTGACGTGAGTGCAGTAGCAACTTACGTATGGCATTGAAGTTCGAGCAGTTGACTGTCTGAAAAATCTATCAAAAAGTGCTCATAGGAAATGGAAATTAGATGTACCTTGGCGTATCGCTCCGTAGACTGGACAGTGGAAGAGTCTTCATTGGTGATGTCACCCGTGGACATGGTCATTGCTTGACGACCTGAGGACGCGCCTGAGGTATATTACGTCATGTAATTAGACGTCGCACCAAAACCTGGTAATCCCGATCGAAAATTATTATAATTTGTTTTTCGATCAAAAACTTTACATTATTTCAATTATTTTGAAACAAATGAATGCTGAAATGCACGCAGGGGGCCATTTTCACTCTGGAAATTTGCCGTTGTAGGGGATTGAATCACCTCTGCTTTTTTGTTGCGTCAGTTTCATCTTTATGGCGGTAGTTGAGAAGGGAAAAAACTGCATTTCCATAAGCATTCAAGCAATATTCTAAATATAATTTTCATCTTCAAGTTACGTCTCGTACAGGATTTCAGGGCCTGGTCTAGAAACACAATTATTTTGTAGAACAAAATGGTCTTACACTCGTAAAACAATTCTCTCCCGCACTTAAAATTTGTTTGCAGTCGATAAAATTTATTTTAAGATTCACTGGGTCTAATTTAATGCATAGAGCTTTAACTAAGTGAATGATTTGTTTTCTTCTATAAAATGGAAACTGAATATCAAATTATTAAAGTTTAAAGTTTACATTGCCTGCTTTTCAGATAGTTTCCGTGATATAGTCTATTTCCATAAAAAATATTGGAAGAGTCCTTGAATTATTCTTTCTACATTCACCAGCGTAAAGAAATCGTTCAATTTGAACTCATTACGCTGTAGCGATAACCACGTGATACCTGAGCTGTCTGGCGCTCTTGTCTTCGAGCTGCTGCTGAAGAGAAGGTGCGATCTTCTAATCTTTGATGTAGCTGTTGAAAATCTCAGAGAAGATGAATATATGAGAACACTTGAACATCTGAGCAGAAAAATGAACATCTAGGAACAGTCGGGAATTTGAAAGCAGTTGAATATCTAAAAGCAGTTGAACATCTTGGAACAGCTGAAAATCTGGAAGCAGATGAACTGGGAACAGTTGAACATCTGAGGGCCGTTGACAATTTTTGAGCAGTTATATATCTAGGAACGCTTGAACATCTGGGCAGAATAACTGATCGAAAGCAGCGTATAACAGATGTTGTTAACGAGTGTGCAACAGAACACACCAAACCACGTCAGGTGACTGCCTTGCTAACATCAAACAATTAAGTTACCCTAAATCTGTAAAAAATTTACAAACAATGAAGATTTTGGTGAAAATTTTAAAAAATTGTAGAATTATAGCAGTTAGAATATTGTAAATGAAATAAATCAAAGAAATATTTTTTCTAGCAAATTGTGCCAAACGTTTGAACATGAAGATTTACTCAACTCTCGAATTTTAAATAGTCTGCAATCTAAACCATTAATTTATCAATTATACCAAAATCAAATTCTCAATGTTATGTTATTAAAGTTTTTCTTTACAGATTTGCATTAAAATAAAGGCAGAATTATTTACGCAATTTCAGCTCAAACATTTTAATGCGCACCAAATAGAAATTTGAATTATGAAGAAGGAATGCAATTTATTTTACCGCTTGATTTGTGCCTGAAAGAAACCCCGTTATGCTTTATTCAAAATCTGTCGGAGGAAGAAACTGCAAGCATCCAAAGTGAGCGTACACTTTCTGACCGTTATTGTAGCTATATCATTAGTAAAGGATTTTTGGTTATTAGTCAAGTTGTGTGAAATATCGATAATTAATGAGCGCTAACTTCACTGTCATATTTCATTGCCAAAGTTAAGTATTCATCTTTATTTGTATTTCTTCTGGAATTAGTGCGGCAGTATTAAATGAGTTCGCAAAACTTTCGTGAGCACCTAGTGTCAAAACGCTGGCAAAAGTTGCCTCAAACTTGAGATCAGAATGAACGTGTCGTGAACAGGTGTGGCAGAAGTTCAGACGAAAACTTGAGCACACCTTACCCTACCACAGCCAGATGGGCACTGAGGTCCCAGCGAGTCGATTACTGGGCTTTTAGAGCGAGCGTCGCTGGGCTCTCAGGTGGACCGACGGGCACAAAACTTCACCCGCGGGACGGCCCAGCGTTCGAGATAACGCCGGGCGGGACGTGGGGCTGGAGGGGGAGGGAGCTAGTCCCAGAATCATTGGATTGCAGTGAGGGCGGGGGGATTTAAACCCGAGTACCAAATTCACGCATCGTTGACGATAATATAAAAAACAATAAATCTCTTTCATTAACTATAAAATTAGGAATAATTTCTTTATGATCGGTGCGATGGATTGCTCTGAATCAAGAAAATTCCGAGATTAAAGTTTCGCTTAATAATTAGTTGCTTACGATATTTCTTTTTATTGATATTATGCCGTGAATAAATTCAACCAGGGAATAAATTCAACCATTTTTATTTCAATTTGATTTAAACATCATCCCATGTCGTGTTTATTTAGTAGCATGCTGCTTCAATTATATCTACATCTACTCTTAGTTCCCAAAGCGTTTCTTTTCTGAGTTTTCTCCATGATCAATTACTGCTATTGTTATTGCTCACTAGTTCAATATCTAATATTCCATACACATGAGAATATTTAATTTATCACGAAAAGTTTGAAATTTCTATTTGAAGTGTAAGCCAATAACATGAGACACATTCGACAACGCTTTAAATGAACATACATGGTTGAAAATTTAGTGTATTACAGAAGTTTCCCATCGCTTGAGCAGAGAAAACGATATCATAGAAAATTCTTCCGGGGTGTCCTATAAAACACGGACCTTGTCTTTCCTGGAATTGACATTTGGTTCAGGTTCAGTGAAGAATAAATGGATCGAACATATGTACGATTGTTTTCTCTAGTGCTAAATTAAAAAAATTACACCATTTCAAGGTAATTTCTACAGAAAACTGAAATGAGAATAATAGTCTTTAGTTCCTTCACAATGTCCCTCTCATAATTAGATGATACAGTAAAGTAAATGTTAGTAGCAGAAACCGTAGACTTCAATTCTGATGTTCGAGAAATAAAGTAAAGTAATAAAGTAAAGTGTCTAAAGTAAGCAAACACAAAGGATGAACTGAATGCTTGAACTAATTTCTTTAATCGTGCACGAACATGTCTAAATTTCAATAATGAATAAAATCGTGAACTTTATTCTGCAAGACCATAAAATTATTTACCATTGGCTGAATATGTTAACACGCATTTTGATCAAAATCTCACATAATATGGAACATTTTTCTTTAAATTGGAGATGAAAAGCTTCATCCTAAGTTACTGTCTGCACGCAGCACGAGGGCTTGTTGGACTGAAGTTCGATCGCAGAGACCAGCGCAACTTTGACGAGCAAAATCTCCTGCCTCGCAAGAACTTGAGCGCCAACTTAGAAGTCTTCTATCATAGCTGCCCGACTCTAAAAATTTATCCGGAAAGTTAGAAGCAAAGCTTGGCGTTAGCTTGAATATCTGGAATGAATAAGACAGACTAACGCCGGGAACATAAGGCAGATATATGACTAGCGCGTAATGTATGGTGTATTTGAGGCAGATATAACACTAAAATGTAATGTACGGTGTATATGAGGCAGATATAAGACTCGCGTGTAATGTACGGTGTATATGAGGCAAATATAACACTAGCATGTAATGTACGGTGTATATGAGGCAGATATAAGACTCGCGTGTAATGTACGGTGTATATGAGGCAGATATAACACTAGCATGTAATGTACGGTGTATATGAGGCAGATATAACACTAGCATGTAATTTATGCTGTATATAATGTAATGCAATGTACGGTGTTTATGTACAAATTCATGCCGTTGTATGAATCTATTACACAAGCAAGCATATGCAGTCTTTGGAATATGACCCTTTATACAGTCATCTGGTTTCAGGAAGTTCTGGTTGCTGGACTACGTGATAACAAGCGTATTTTTAATTATCTTGTTAATTTCTCTCGATTTTTTCCATACCTTATATGGATAATTACAATTATGGAATCTTATCATACTTATAAAAGAATGCCGGCCGAAAATAAATAATAAATCTACACAAATGGGGATTTTGGTATCGATGAACTATGCAGTAATATCGACTCATTAAAGCCGAAGCTGTTAACTTCACACAGTAAAGCAGAGATACAGCAAAGCCTGTGCACTGCATCGCACCTGCAACAAAGGAGATACAAAGTCATGTCTTCAATCGACGAACTAACAGAAAACAAAGGCAAACGATGGCATATCGACCCAAAGGCTGACATACTGTACTGACCGGCGAACAGTTAGCCAGACTGGCAGTCAGATTTATGTCATGACATTGTAAAACAGACAATAGTTGGGTTGACAGACAACACTGCTGGTGTTACTTTGACAGGATACATGTCAAAGCAGACAAGATATGACGCAGACTCACGGTATAGCAGATACCTTCATAAGACGGAATAATTTCATAACGTTACAATAGTACACGGGTATAGTTATCCTCGTGGAGTGCGAAAAGGAACAGAAGAATTATTTAGAGCAGAACCCAGTGCAGCAGAAGCAGAACAAGGCAGGCAGTTACTCTTTTTTTTATACGCCGCCTGGTGTATGCCACTTGCGAGGCTTGATCAGCGTTGCGATGACGATTGATTGCATCCCGAGATTAGGCAGTGCTTTTCAGAAACATGATTGAATCTCCTTAATAGCTACGGCTGATAGACCAGTTCTAAAATGAGATTTGTTTGACTACGCAATGCTCGATTTAATGAACTTTTACACTTTTATTAAAAAGTTATACATTTTTAAGTTGGTTAAACTATTGCATAAATTCTATCCAAATTTCGCCAAAAATTCGCAAGTATGAAAGAACCCTGGAATTGGCGGCGAAATAACATCAAAGTTAGTTTGCGGTGTATCTTCTAGCTGTTGCAGCCAGGTAGGATACAAATATATTAAGTAAGTGAAACATGAAGTGCTTGAAATATGTATTTTTCATTTTCCCGACTGAAAAAATGTCTTGTGGAACATTCACTTAAAAGCTATCGCATTGTCGCATCAAGGTTTATCCTGCAAGTCGTATAAATTTTAGTTATTTTCATTCATGGCGCAAAAAAGTTTGATAATTTTTACATTGACAACTTCTTTGCGTATTTGTATTTTCAACATTTTTTCCCATAGTTTGTTAGACAGTGGA